ACAATCATGCTGTCTTCATCTTCATTTTCCTCTAAGTACAATGGAGATCTTCCCCCAGATAGGGTTGCTGCACCCTGAGAACCAGGAACCATTGCCAGCAGTTAGTGATACACCATCCCTTTCAACAACTGGAGGGAGAATATGACCATCGTTCCTAAAAGACTGTTTTTAGAGCTCTGAGATTAAGACGGTGCCAAATACATGTTCGTCCACCACTACGCTATCTGAACATCAGACCAGTCATGCTGTCCCTAAGTCAGTGTTTCATACTTGCCCCTCCCCCACGAAGCAAAGACCTTCAGGAAGTAAAAAACAGTGGCTATCTAAAAAGCAATGCTTTGGGCAAACAACTGTGATTCTAAGCTTTAAGAGAATCTTTGCTTGATGGAGCACACACAAAAAGTACCCAGGCATGTGAAAAATTATTTGCTTGTCTTTAAGGTATCTATTAATTGCTTAACAACAACAACAAAAAATCCTAGGAACCCCATTTTACAATGCTTCACACATGTTTCAGCTCATGATCTCCAAGTTGGAAGAGTCAACAGTACATCAATTTCAATACTAGTAAAAATGTCAAATAAAATGTTGGAAGTATTTTTAACTTGTGGAAGAGCTTCTACTGCGGGGGTCATTGATTGAAGTGACAATGAAATGACTGTTATAATTCAAAAACCTTTATGTTCACTTTAGTTTAAATTAATAGGTAGAGAAAAGCCTAAGAGGAGTTATAAAGGCAGAGAATAGACTAGTTGCAAATTATGCACACTACCATCTCAAAAAAGGATATACAAATAAAGAAAAGAAGGGGAAAATGCAGTCAAGAATACAATGTATATTCTACAAAATTAAGAAGAATGGGGGGGTCAGGAAGGAATGAGGGGGTATGTTGAAAGGGATGACACTGATCAAGATACGTTGTATTCATAAACTATATTTGTTAAAGGGTGACTCCTTTGTACAACTACTTAAAGATAATAATAAAGAAAAATAATTCTTTCTAAAGTCTTAAAACTCAAAAAGAGCTCAAAGGCATGGTACAGAAATATGAATAGTGGTTTCCCAGTGATAAAGTCTCACCTTGACTACACAATAAGTTTGCCATGCTTTTATCCCTGGGAAAAGTTAAAAGATTAATAAGAACTAGGCTAACAGAAAGAATATAGGCTAAGCCAGGTGCTGGTACCTCATGCCTGTAATCCTAGCTACTCAGGAGACTGAGATCTGAGGATCACAGTTCAAAGCCAGCCTGGGCAAGAAAGTCTATGAGACTCCTATCTCCAATTAATCCCCCGAAAACCGGAAGTGGCGCTATGGTTCAAGCGTAGAGTGCTTAGCCTTGAGCTGAAGAGCTCAGGGACCGTGCTCAAGTCCAGAGTCCAAATCCCACAACTAACCAAAAAAAAAGAAAAAAGAAAAAAGGAAGAATATAGGCTAGCTTGGGCTCACAAGTATAATAAATTAATCTCTACTAACATATTTCTTTAATGTGACTAACACTCTCTGTCTCTGCTTCTATTCCTGGTGTAGATTGGAGGCATAAGCATGAATTCTAGGTGCCAGACCCCCTTCCATCTCTATCAGGCCTACAGCCAGCATCAGGTTCCAGTTACCATGGACATCCTCTGAATCGTGTGCCCAGATGACCAGAGAGAGGTGAGGAGGTAGAGGAACAGGTGGGCAGGAAGAGGGGAAATGTCAATCCCAATCTCAGTTCTATTGTTAGCATATGATCCAATATGGTAATAAGTACTCTTCCATGACAAGCAGTAACTAAGGGCCAGTACTCTCCCATTAGTTTCTTCTTAACTAACAGATAAGATAGGTTGCTAGACCTGGGCTCTTGGCTTCAAAGATTTCTTTACATTTCATTCTTTACATTTCTTTACTATTTTTTAGTACAGGCAGACAACCAAAACCAGTGTAGGCACCTCTTGTCTAAATAGAAGAATTCCTGGGAAGTGATAAATTCCAAAAGCTATAGACATGTAAGTTCTATTCCAGTTTCGGACTCCATTATTTTGAAAATATGTCTGGCAAATGTGGATTCACTCCATGTGAATTTGCCTGAGGAAATAAGGAGAAACTGCAGAGTATTTTTCACTTCTTTTGCAACTTGTTGGGAATGCAGTAAGAAGTAAAGAGAACAGGAAATCTTGTAGGGTGGTTTAAGGTGCAAATATGTAGTAGAAACACAGAATATCCTGGGCATTTGCAAGGTTTATTACCTTTACATAAGGAATTGATGAATATAATACACAGTATAAAAAAATCAGGAAAAATTGCCTGTGGAATTTTCCATTGCTTGATATTGGAATGATTCCCACCCTTTCATCAACTCTGAAATCACTGCCAATCTTCTCAAAATTAAGGATTAATAGCTGGAAGATCAAGTTCTAGCAGTTCCACTTATGTAACACTTAAATGGCAAAATACATGTGTCATTACATGCTAGAGGTTAGCAATTTTACTTATCAAACACAGGCTTGTGATGGTTGCATTCTGATGAAATAAAATAGGGTTCTAAGAAATGCCAATGTAATGTTATAGTGTATCTTCCAGTAGCAGCTAGGGTAGAAGTTCAATTCTATTAAAACTGCCAACCAGGGAATATTTAGAGTCTTATTTAATTTATCATCTTCAAGGATATTTTTTTGTCTTTTACTATCCATTGACTTTACTTGTAGATTTACAGGCACATTCTAATTATTACAATGAGAGAAACCATGCGACCTATTTTCTTTGGGTCTTGGGGGAGTGGGAAAAAAACTGGGAAAATAAGGGAAGAGGTGACACTGTTCAAAAAGAAATGTACTCAATACCTGACCTGTAACTGCAACTTCTCTGTATATCACTTTTATAATAAAAAACTTTTTTAAAGAAACTGTCAACTGATTGGGTGGGAGGGAGGGGGGAGGCTGGGAAGGGAGGTGAAGGGTAAACAAAGGAGGAGGCTGCAATGCTTGGTAAGAAATGTATGCATTATCCTGCCCATGTAATTGTAACCCCTCTGTACAGTATGTTCTCAAATAAAATAAAATAAAATTTAAAAAAAAAAAAAAAAAGAAACTGTCAACTGAATCATGTCCATAAAAAGCTTTTCTGAAGCTGAGTACAGTGGTTCACGCCTGTAATCCTAGCTTCTCAGGATGCTAAGATCTAAAGATGAAGGTTTCAAGCCACCCTGGGAAGGAGCTATGGTTCCAGTGATAGGACATTATCCTTGAACAGAAAAGGCTAAGGGACCAAGCTCAGACCCTGAGTTCAAGCTCCAGTTCTTGCCACACAGAGACAGAGAGAGACAGAGAGACAGAGGAGAGACAGAGACTTAGAGAAACTTTTCTGTTGACCCAATCTACTCATGCTAAAAGTTGCAGGAAAAAACTCTTCCAATATTATTCTCAACATTGGAAGAAGCTTATATATGACAAATCTGAGGATTTGAAAGATGAGCCCATGAATGGAAGTCTCTGGTTGTCATGCGACATCACATACACAAATGACAGCACTTAGAAATTAAAGGTATTAAAGTCCTGCAGGAAATGCCCTATTGTCTCCATGATGCAGCTGAGCTTCAAGCCACCTCTATTTTCTTCTAATCCCTGGATGTGCTATAGGAATCTATGAAACTTAATTACATTTACTGTTACCAAAAAAAAGAGGGGGAGGGATTTATGAACTTTTGCCTTGAGGCGGAAATGTTTATTCCATTGCCTTTACTATCCATTCTTTTCAACTCCCCGGGCTTTGAACTTTTCAGCTGCTCAGAGTTATCACTGTTGCACAGAGACCAAAAGCTCCACTGCAAAGACACACACCACAAGTTGAAGAAAACCAAGAAGGCAAAGATATATGAGTCGTTATTTTGGCCACCCTTTGTGCCATTAAAATCTCATTTTCTGCCTATTAGAATGCCCTCTTGGTGCTTAGGCAGCGGTGATAGTCAGTGATTAGTGTGTAATTGACTATAATTGTCTTTTCACTTTTCATTTGTGTCATTCCGAGTTTCTCTCTGTTTTTCTAACCACCAGGAAGGAAAGGGAAGGAAGAAAAAAAAAAAAAAAGGAGGTCGCAAAAGATAAAGCTGTTAAAACTCTCCCTTGCAGCCCTGAAGAGATTCTCGATTGCAATTATAGATTGCCACCCCTTTGTGACATTTCTCCAAATTTAGTTGGAGTCTGTTCTCACCACCTGGGCCAACCGCTCTCTAATAAAATCAAGCAATCTGTATTTAAACAACTGCTAATAATGTCAACCCCAGACAGATGCCACATGTAGGAAACTTAACCATCTCTCTGACATGCAATTATCAAGGCAATTTATTAATACAATCACCCAAGAAAAGCTCATAGTCCAATGCAAATTAGAAAAACAATTACAATGTTCAAATATTTATATATCCCCAAAGAGCAGTAATTCTCCTAATTTGTGCATTTATCACTCATTTATTCCAGACTTTTGTTGTCATTAGATGGTGCTCTCTGTGTGTGTCTCTCTCCTTCTCTCTTTCTCCATCTCTCTCTCTTTCTCCTTTCTGTCTCTGTCGCTTTCTGTCTGCTTCTTCTCTGGTTTATCAAAGCTTCAGTATTTTCTTGTGAAATACTTTTGCTGAAAACCTTCTCAAGCTGACCAAATATCACTTTGAAACAAAAATAATAATAACAAAACCAAAACAATCCACTATGTTTGTGAAGTTCTTCACCAAAAGCCCAGAGCTAGGGATAAAGAAGACACATGACAAATGCTTAGACAGCTAAGTATAAACATAAAGTCACCCTGATTACATTAGAAGTCACTTGAATTTTAAGTCGAAGCTACGACTTTTGATGCCTCCAGTAGGAAAGGGTAGAGAGAAAGGAAACTAGAAAACTGAAATCATGTGGCTTGTATAAAGAATACATTATGGTTTAAATTTGGCAATTCATTATACTCCTGCCTCAGGGAATTGACTATTTGGTTCTGGTATACAGCATTCGTCTGTCTAGAAACACGGGACTGACCTGAGGTGAAAGGCCATTGCCAATGGCGGGGTTCATGGGGTTGGAGGGCCCCGATGGAGGCACAAAGCTGTCTGTATAGCTGGAAAATCCATGCCGGGTGCTCGGAAGGCAGTAGGCAGAGCTGCTGTCCGGGTTTGAAGGAAGACTGCTTTGGTGAGCCGTGCTTGGAGGGAGCGGTTGAGGTCTATGAACAGTGTTGCTGGGATCTGACACAGCTGAAATGAAGAAGATGGTCAACCATGAAGTTCCTCTGTAGGCCTACCCGGTGGTAAGCATTCACAAGTAGCTAAGTTGGCAGTAGTAGCTAATGGTCAGATCAAATGTTCATTCCATACAGTATTGGTCTAACTTCACTCAGCAAACACAGACACATCTATGCCACTGTACGTTTGCAAATCCCAAACAGAGCATGCACTCCTGTGGCACTTGCATACTGAATATCTATAGACATTCTCACCTAGAATTTGAGTGCAGAAATCACATTAACAATGCTATGAGAGAATTTCATGGCTATACATCTCAAATTTCTCATCAAATGGACTTTTGTATCTGTCTATCTGTCTGTCTGTCTGTCTCTCTCTCCCTCTCTCTCTCCCTGTCTCTCTCCCTCTCTCTCTCTCTCTCTCTCTCTGTATCTGTGTGGGGCTTGAACTTAGGTCCTTGTATTCTCACTGTGTGTGTGTGTGTGTGTGTGTGTGTGTGTGTGTGTGTGTGCTTATAGCTAGTACTCTACCACTTGAGCCATAGCTCCACTTCTGGCATTTGGCTAGTTCATTGGAGATAAGAACATCATAGATGTTCTTTTCTGACTGGGCTAGCTTCAAACCCAGATCCTCAGATCTCAGCCTCCTGAGTAGCTAGGATTACAGGCCTGAGCCAGCAGCATCCAGCTCAAATGTGCTTTTAAAGTGCCTAAATATTCAGGAGACAGCATACCTTCAAGTACTCAGAAAGCTGTCTTTCATAATCCAAAAATAACATAGTCTTAACAATTTAACAGTATCCCATCCCACTCTGTATGCCAACGAAAGTGACTTTATCCACGTTTATCTTCCCCGTTTTCCTTCTGTCATTAGTAACCATTACAGAACTTCGGTTAACTGCAAACTGGCAGACAAATGTTGCGGCAAACTTTGAACTAAAGCAAGTCCTATGTTTATTTAGGAAAGTTGTTTGGTTTGAAAAATACCAAACTATTCTATTGTAACAGGGTTTTTCTAGAAGAAGGCAGAGAGGTCACCGAACAAACAATGTGTTTGAAATACACGTAAAGGGAACATTCCTGACAACCTGATGTCCTATAATTGACATTCCCAATGGTATGAATGTCAACGTGGTACACAGCATAATGCACTGTCAAAAAAAGCCACCAGAAAAAGCACTTGGAAGTTACCCTTGAATCTCCTTGAGTCTCTGTTCCATACCTTGTGGAATGGATGTGGGCTGGTAAGAGGTCTCTGACAGCTGGTATGTTGGCAGGGTCGGCATGGCCGTGGGAGGGAATCCCCCCGGAATGAGATGGTTGAAAGCCATCAGTTGATTGGCCCCAGCTTGCTTCCTCCATCTTGCACGGCGGTTGCTAAACCAGACCTATGGATTTAATTTAAAATTTGAGGATTTCACTGATGAAATAATAGTACATTCTTAATGAATTTTTCATGCTAAACCAGATTAAAGGACCCTTACTGACAGGGCAAATAGATGCAAGGGCCCTTGGTCTTCTCTGTTGTTTGGGAATAATGTCAGAGGTGAAAGGAGAGTGAGGTCTCAGAGGTCAGGAGAGGGGCTGTATGGACCTTGGTGGCCTGGCAGCCTCCCCCCACCCCAACCTCACAATGACCATGGGGAGGGACTGTCGAACGGAAGTAGGAACAACAAGAACTTCCCATGACCACCACCAATTATTCCCCTTCCTCCATCCGTTATTACTCTTCTAGGAATCCATGAGCCTATGTCTCACACATGTCCTACATTTGGCCTTGCCTATTACATATACCATGCCTTGTGTTTTAAATTCTTATCAGTCTGTCTCCGTATGTCTATAATCATTAGGGGCATACTTTCTAGATAGTCACATCAATTGCACCGGGGATAAATAAATGGAGTCCGTCGCCATCTTTTCAAAGTATGACACATTGCACTGATTGATCTCAATGGAAATAAATGCCAGGAAGAGTTTCAAAACAGGAAAGCATTCTTGTATCTAAATAATTCAGTTGTTATTTCTTTCAACAACAGCTAAGCACCTATAATACTTTGAGTCAGGCACTGTTTTAATCAGTGCCCTGAGGTTCAGGAAGAAAAAACAAAATGAATATAACCAAATGCCTTCCAGAAATTCAGAGCCTAGGGGTTTGTTTTGTTTTGGTTTGGTTTTCTTTTGGTTTTTTTGTTTTTTGATGTGTCTCAATGAAGAGAAAGAGAAAAACATAGCAATAACAAGTACAAAATTGGGGCTGGGAAGATGGCTCAGTGGTAGAGTGCTTGCCTTGCATGCATGAGGCCCTGGGTTCAATTCCTCAGCACCACATAAGCAGAAAAAAGCCAAAAGTGGCACTGTGGCTCAAGTGGTAGGACGCTAGCCTTGAGCTGAAGAGCTGAGGGACAGCGCCCAGGCCCAGAGTTCAGGTCCCATACCCGACATAAAAAAAAAGAAGAAGAAATGCAAGGTTGAAAATACATAATTTAAGCCTTGAATGGGTTTATGGTCTTGCCCAGCTCATATCTGTGGAATCTTAGGGTAAAATGTGGAGTAATTTTCCCAGGTACCAACATCATGTTTGTGGCAAAATGAGAGATTTCTATTAATCTACTTTTTTTTTTCATTAGAAGTTCACTGAAACAAGGTAAAGACATATCACCCTTGGAATTGGAGGAAAGAAAGACTAAGGTAGAGCCCTGCACTCAGAGGCTGCCATCCACAGAGGAGCCTCAGGACCTGGAAATAATTGCTCCTTAGAGGTACAAGTCCGTGTTTGGCAGTGTAGAGAATCGGGGAAACTGTAGAGTGGAGGCAAAGCTTCAGAACCTCTTAGATTCTGAACATGATTTCCACAAAGGATCTTTCCTGATGGAAGTCACAGTACAGAGTAGGAAGACTTGGCCAGCCCTCACATATGCAGTTGAGCCTGGTCCCATATGTTTGACCTTCAGGATTAGTGGGGGGCTAAGGGGAGAATAATACTTTATTTCTTAATAGGAAAATGCTTACAATGATACACTTGTCAGTTGAAAGTCATATAATTTAAAAAAGAGAAAAGGGTAAGAACTCTTTCTTCTGGAAAAGGGAACCCAGTTTAGCAAATACGTTGCCCGACATTTGCTCAGCCAAGTATTTATCTTTAAAAGAGTTTTGTCTTTTCTGATTAAAAAGTAGTTTGAGCTTCCTAAAATATTAACAGTTAATACTCCTATGCTTCTAGCAGGAAGAGAGGGTAAGTCAATATTTTCCACATTGATTTATAATTGAATCCGAGTTTTACTTAATTTAATAAATTGCCTCCTGGGATAACAGAACCATGAACTCAGCGAAGTCTGCATCAGGTGTATTTTCTCTTTCTAAGTCTAAGAACTTATTACTATGGCTCCCAGAAGCATCATAGGAAGAAAACCACTTTCAAAGAAGATCTTGGAGTATGAAGTGGCTTAAAGACTTAGAGAATGTGGGGCCATGTTTATGCCCTCATGTACTATTCCCAACCATACACTTAAGCATACTTGTAAAACTTCAAGACAAACAAAGAACTTCTGACTCAGGCAAGTCTCCCACACCTGTGTAGACAAACTGTGTGCAGCATCTCACTGGGCTGGGAAGATCGATTCTACTTCAGTCAGGCAGATTTACCATCTTCAGTTCCAGTGAGCCTCTCCATGAGGAACTCAGAAACCTAAACTTCATTTTTATCACAGCACAGTTGCCATTTTTCCATCCCCAGATAAGTAATGCAGGCTTGAGTTACCCGCCATGCCTCGTCTCCACAGGCATTCCAACTCACCATTGATTCGAAGTTCTAATTACAACACGAGGCAGTTTTTTAAAATAAAAATAGTCTTTGTCTAAAGAATAAAGAAGAAGAAACATCACTTTCAACAAACAGTTTCAAAAGTAGAATCAAAATATTTGAGGATAAGAGCTTGAAGTTTGTGTTCTTTTTTTCCAAAATAATATATATATGTATATCAAAGACATCAATTAAACCCACTGAGTTGTATTAAAAAGTTCTTATATTTATAATATTATACTAACAAAAAATGCAAAAAAAAGGCACTAGGGATGTAGCTCAGTAGTAGAGTATGTACCTAGCATAGAAAAAAAACCAGCACCTCAAAGAGAGAAAGAGAGAGTTGAGAAGCAAATCTTAACTGAAAAATAAGCCTTCATCAGGTTTAAGACCTTCTCAAAGGAAATAATTTAAATGTTGCTTAAATTTAGGCTAGATTAACTCTAGAGGGATATTCCTGAGAAAGCCAGGCTTAGTGAAGATTAGCTTGACTGTCTCTGATTATTAAACCAGATTTTCACTTTTAATCATCTTACCAATGCCAATCCTCTGCCTTTCCTAAGACCACTAAAACCTGTGAAAAGAAGCATTAAAGAAAAACCATTCTAAGGTTTGAAAACTTGGTTTAGATTTCAAAATTCAGATAAAAAAGTTGGATTTTCAGTTGAAAAATAAAATTGTCCTTGAAATAATCTTCATCTTAAATACCTAAATGGGCCAGGCACCCATGGCTCACACCTGTAATTTCAGGAGGCTGAGATCTGAGGATTGCAGTTTGTAGCCAGTGTAGGTAGGAAAGTCCATGAGACTCTTAATTCCAATTAATTATAATCAGAAGATCAAAGTGATAAAGCGCTACCCTGGAGACAAAGAGCTCAGGGACATAGCCCAGACCTTGAGGTCACGCTCCACAAGTGACAATAAACAAACAAGCAAATAAGTAATACCTAAAGATAATACCTAAATGATGCTGAGATGCTGTCATCATCCTACCATTAATTGGGGGGAAAAAAAATCTTGATACTAGAAAGTCTTACATAAATCAATACAGAATTACTAATCCTAACAGACAATCAATGCATAATCTACTAAAATGGGTGAGTATGTAGTATTAAAAGGTTCGCCTACAGCACTTAGAGGATATTGATGTCTCAGAATTACAACTTGCTCCTTACTTTAAAAAGAATAATAGCAGCAGGAACAAACTGGCCTTTGATTTGACATTTCTGGAGAGAATATAATTTTATTTTCTCCTGAAATTTCACATCACTCTCGGCTTTGTGTAAGGGAGTGAGGAGAGGCAAGGGAACACATTGGCCGGTAACCTAATAAGGAAGAATTAATTGAATCTAATTGCATGCATTACAATACAATATATACAACCCTCCTCAAATCAAGGTTTCATTTCATTTGAGGATTGTAGCCTGCTTCATTTTCAACTGTCCCTGGACCTATTACTTCTTTTATGTCTCTCTGTGGGGTCCATAATCTACATTCTTGCCCCTTGGAAAATGATCTGTCTATGGATTTCTAGAGTATGCTACTGTTAATTTTACTAAGGTAAAAAAATTATTGCCTCAATAATTATTGGATGCAAAATTTAAATTAGTGTAAAGATCATAATAACTAGGAAATACAATAAAATTGCAAAAGGAGAATACAATTTTCATAATCTCTTCCTGTCTAAAAGAATCAATTTGTTCAGACTCTCAGCAATGTAAGCTGAGAGAAACTTCATACTTGTCATTGTAAAAATACATGAATGCTTTTTTATCCAAATGGATTCTGTCCAGACCAGGCAAAAATTAAATCCCAGTTCCTTACTGTAATCTCCTTAATTTACTAATTCAGTGACTTTCAACAACTTGCTTAATACCTGTGGGCCTGTGGTTTCTAGTCTATTAGATGATGAATATCAAAGTTACTTCACAAGATCGTGGTAAATGAGAACAATAAAGTCACAGCACTTAAAAGAATACTTAAGCTTCAATAAACACCAACCATTCAGTTAAAAAAAAAACAAAAACCAAAAACACCTCACATCCTGGGCACTGATGGCTTACACCTGTAATCCTAGCTATTCAGGAGGCTGAGATCTGAGGATTCCAGTTCAAAGCCATCCCAGGCAAGAAAGTCCATGAGACTCTTACCTCTAAATAACCACTAGAAAATCAGAAGTGGCTCTGTGGCTCAACATGGTAGAGTGTGAGCTTTGAACAAAAGAATGCCTCAAAGACAGTGCTCAGGCCCTGCCAAAAAGAAAAAGAAAAACAAAAACCTCACATTGATACTGCAACGACACAGAGTTAAAGCCTGGCTTGATTCTTGCACTCTGCCATCCATAGCCAAAGCCTTCTAAGCCAAAGAAGAACACCTCCAGTAATGAAAAGCCAGTTGACTTGAATGGAGGCTAAAGTCAAATTTGCTTCTACGTTTCATGGTCTAGTGTTAATTGCCCCCTAGCATAAGGCTAATTTGTGTCCATCTATCAATTGCTGGTTCCCATTTTTAGTGTTGTCCTCAAAAGCAATCTAACCTACATTTATTCTAGTTTGAAAAACCAGGACGGAATGTAATGCTAACGCTTAGAAAGAGAAGTCACAAGATTTTAAGACATATGAATACTAGATTGGATGATGTGTGATGCCACAGTGCCCAGTACATCCGTAGTAGGTAAATTTGAGACACAATGCAATTGACTCTGGATCTACTCCTGCATTCCCATTTCCCTTTTCTCTTCCCATATCTCACTCTTCCCAACCCCTCCAGCCTCAGCCACTCTATAGAGAGCAAGTTGGGGAGAAATGCCATATTCCCACTGGTGTCAGAACCACAGACACAAGCAAACACCAACTAAGCTCTTTCATCTTGGCCTTCAAATTTTTCTGTACCTAACTTCTAAACTATTCAGAGATGCCAGATGACTGAATCGTGGGGCTTTTGTTTCATAATCTCAAATTCCTGATTCAAAAGAATACTGAAAGATGATGTGTTTTTAATTTGGGAATAGAAAAGAGATGATACTTGCAGATATAAGGAAATCCAGAGAACCTGACCATATTTAACACTTGTGTTGACACACATACAGAGACACACAATTTTACAAATCTTGAGTGTTCCAGATCTTTTGGAGTCCATCCATGATCACCCAAGAGACCCACGGACCCAGGCTAAGATCACTTGATATCATGCACCCCATAGTTTTTAAAGTAACAATAACAACAAACAGGAGGCAACAATGCTTGATAAGAAATGTACTCATTACCTTGTCCATGTAATTGTAACCCCTCTGTACGGGTATTTTCACAATAAAAAACAACAACAAACAAACCATCACAACAGGATTGAATGACTTTCTCAACAAAACACATTTGGCACATTGCAATCAACACCCTCCTCTTTTGACACCTCAGTAAATGCTATTTCCACAGGTAGCTTTCCTTCCTGTCTCCCTTCTATCTTGTATGGTACGATACAAGCCTCTTTCATGGCATTCTGAGATGAAGCATGTACTAAAGATTTTGAACATCCTATGTATTTGCTGGTAATGGTTAACCACAAAACTTTAATGATTGGCATTATTTGTGTATGAGTAGCTACTTTAATGAATGCAATAAAGTCCTTTTTTTTTCTTCTAATGTTATTACTTCTGGGCAGTCTGGTATACAACCGTTTTTAGACTGGATAGTCCAATTTGGCTCTGAGTAATACAATATTGCTACTGTTCAAATGAATGTTTATGAAACAATGATAAAGACCTAAACCATTACAGCTTAGTCTCATCCTTATCCAGACAATGCAGAAATAATTTTCCTCAAGGCGAGACAGGGTTTGAGGTTTCAAGGTTTGGACTGGAGTTTTCCCAGGTGCCCCAAATTAAACTAACTCACACTTTCTGGTTATCACTCAAAGGAGTTGACTTAGCTACTGCTTTCCCAGATCCTTCTAAAAACTAAAGGATTTTCTTCTGGCATTTTAATCAGTGATTAACTACTCCCTTCTTTTTCCTGCTGGGTGAAGTAAAAGATCCATATGCTGGGTGTCCTAGGGAATTTGTTAGGCTGTAGATCATAGCCTGGTGGAAGACATGATGTGTCTCAAGGGAGCTAACGAATCCATAGGAATGTAAAGAGTCACCGGGTTAAAGCCACATTAAGACAGCTGTTACATTAATGAGGGCCCTACTTCGCAAGGGAGGGCACTGTATAGAAAAATAGGAACTGTTCTTTATTGGTTTGATCCCATGTCCTCTGAAAGTTAATGGACCATTACTATTATCCTTTGACATTCATTGAGCTAGATGAGAATCCTGGGAATGCTGGGTACTGTACAATATAGGTTTGAAATTTATCCTGTCCTTTCTCCTTGTTTCTGGAAAAAGGCAGAAAAGAAAGTAGAGTACCTCTGAAAAGTTCAGTTTGGTGTCTCCCTCCTTGTCTCATCTCTTTAAAATAAAAGCTCATTTTTTTCATTCACACTGAATTCAGAAGTGCTCGTGGATCTATCTTAAGAGCACACATAGGAAGTGGACTTGGCCAGCCATGAAGTATAGAAGCTAAATGCTAAAATATAGTAGATATGCACCAGCAACGAACAAGTAGAAGTCTTTTCCATTTAAGCCAGGTAAGCACATAATTATAACAGAATCAACATGATATATACTTTTGTAACAATGTTATATACATTCTTAAAATATTACAGGACTAGATTATAGAACTACTGGATACAGACTACCCATTTCACTGGGATGCGAAGTAAATTGTGATTCCTAGGTAACGGAGATCCTTTCTAACTCTGCATTAGGGAGGAAGATTGTGTATCCCTGTGAAATTAATTGATTGAATAATTAGTCATCAGTCCAATGAATGTCACTGTGTCTGTGACTTTTCCTTCACCCTTCTACGCACCTCTAGCTTACATAACCCACGTAGTCTTCTGAAGATCTTTCATTACCACCTCTTTCTTGCCAACCCTACTGCCACTACCTATTTCATGCCCTGGCACCCAACACCTATCACAAGTGTGAGCTTGCCTGTGTGCAGCCCGAGATCCCATCCCATCTCCCACCCTACCAGCCTCCCAATCTAACCAAACTGATGGTCAGATTACCTGATCTCGCCATGTGGAATGGAAATGGAAGATCATCTCACAGATAGGTAGCCCAGGCATTTCCAACTCTGTGCCTTCATTCGTATCATTCCTTCATATTAATATTCTCATCCTCTCTGTCCAATAAACGTCTGACCCGTGCCTCTCTTATTTCCTCTAAGATCTTGTCTTTTCTATTTCCCCACTCTTATGACACTTTCTCTCTCCCTCTCCCTCTCCCTCCCCCCCCCCCCCCCCCTCTCTCTCTCTCTCTCTCTCTCTCTCTCTCTCTCTCTCTCTCTCTCTCTCTCTCTCTCTCTCTCTCTCTCTCGGCACTTGTAGTGTCTGCTTTGTTTCCAAACTTATTTATGTGTTTCTTTCATTACCCTCATTGGACTGGAGCCCTGGAGAGAACTCTTTTGCTTCTTCTCTGCACTCTTTAACTTTCCTAGCTCTATATGCTCCTATGGAGGCTGAATGAAGGAACCCCTCTCCCTAGGCTCTGTAGCTGGACGAGGCTATGTCTGTAAGATGCTCTAAAAGGAGAGATAATGAGTTGTTTATGTAAAAGTATCCACCAAGTGAGGCCAACTCACTGCCAAGGCACTGGCCTGACTTTAATTATATTCAGATAGCTCTGTGATACCCTAAGCTTTTTGATGTATGTGTGCCAGTATTAGGGCTTGAATCCAGAGCTTGGCTTTCGGATCTCCACTTCTGGGTTTTTGCTCATTAACTGAAGTTAAGAGTCTCTAGTTAACTAATCTCTAGTTCATTGAAGATAAGAGTCTTGGTTTTTTTTCTCCCCCTGCTGGCTTGGAACTACGATCCTCAAATCTCGCCTCCTGAATAACTAAAATTACAGATATGAACTACTGGCACTGGGCTACACTAAGTCTTTTATAATTTGTCAAACTAACAGAAAGAAGTTCATCACTGGTGATGAAAAGATTATTCTTCACTCAATAGAAACATGTTACATCTAAGCAGCCATTTCCCCAAGCCTCAGAGTGTTCCCATGAATTTGAAAGATGATTGAACATGGTCATAAGATAATGTAATTGCTTGGCATGCTCCCAGACTATGAAATCTAAATGAAGGAACTTTATCTTATGCACCTTGGCACATTTTCCTAATGGAAAGGCCAAAAAGTGAAGGATCCAATTATGGCTATACTCAGTATGCAGGTGAAGACCTGGGTAATTATTTAACTAGTCTACCTTTCTGTCTCACTGTCTGCGATCTGAGGGGCAGTGACAGGTATCAGCCCAGAGTTGTAGGGATGATTAAAAGAGTTAATTCACCTAAAACACCTTAAATAGTAGCTGGCACTGAAGAACTATCCAAAATGTATTGAACTACCCCAGGCTCCACATGGTACCTGGCTCACCATCAGATGAGTGAGCATGAACAAAATGGATTTCCATGCATCACGGGTAAGGTGATCACATCCTCTAAACCACAATAGACTTGAGGAGGCTACGGATGTAAAGACCTTACCTGCACTCGGGCCTCTGTGAGCTTGGCCCTCTGGGCCAGCTCCTCCCTCGTGTAGATGTCAGGGTAGTGAGTTCTCTCAAAAGCTCGCTCCAGTTCTTCCAGCTGCTCTGCGGTGAAGGTGGTCCGGCTCCGGCGCTGTTTCCTCTTTAGCGGGAGATCCGGTTCAGAGTCGATGTCAGAGCCTTCATCTGATTGGGGTGCCGTGGCTAAAAGTACAAGAGGAAAGGAAACACAATAGAATAATGAACCCTAAGCAAATCTGACCAAGCCACTTGAAGTACCATTGGATTCCCAGCCCCTGCAGTTCATAGGACATTAGCAAATAGTATTCAACCTCTTCTTCTACCTGCCCTCCTGCTGCTCAGGGCAAAATTACCTGCTCTGACCATCTGTCTTTTGAGCTCTTAGAAAATAGGGAAAAGCCTTTATAAAACCCTGATTCCATTTTTGTGGCTCTGTACTTAGCACTTCACGAGAATACAGTTCGTTGATGTGTAGTAAATGAATCACAGGTAATTTCCTTTCTTTTTGTTTTCCCCCCCTGTGGGGAGTTTATTTATTTATTTTTTTATTTTGCAGGGGAGCTGTCTGTCTGTTGCTCATTTGTTTCAAGACACGGCTTTGTAGCCCAAGCTAGCTTGAACTTTCTATCTTCCTGCCTCAGCCTCTTGCATGCTGGGATTGCAAGGCAACACTTCCACACCTTTTATGTGTTTTTCATTTCTTTTCTTTTCCTTTTGGTGGTGGTGGAACTGAGATTTGAACTTGCTAAGCAGATGTTTTACCACTTAACTGTTCCTCCAATCCCATGTCCAAACTTTTTGGGGATACCAGTCCTGGGGCTTAAATTCAGGGTCTGGGAGCTGTCCCTGGGCTTTATTTTGCTCAAGGCTAGTGCTCTACCACTTGAGCCACAGTACTACTTCCAGCTTTTTCTGAACAATTTATTGGAGAGAAGAGTCTCGTGGACTTTCTTGCCCAAGATGGCTTTAAACCATGAATCCTCTGATCTCAGCCTCCTAAGTACTAGAGTTACAGGTGTGAGCCACCAGCACTTGGCCCATGTCCAAACCGCTTACTTTTAATCAGCATTTTGCAATGAGAAATCTGTTAACTGTGATTTTTTAAATGATTTTTTTAATTCCAAAATTGATTTAGTGGCTAAAAATCAACAGCCTCAAGCAATAGTAACACCAACGACATAATTCCTATGCCTTTCTGGATTCCACTACTCCTATAAACATTTTTTTTTAATGTTTAAACATAGTATCTCACCAACAGATATTTGAAAATGCTTTAATGAGAACAAAGTCAGAATCCTTACAGGAAGAATCTATGACAGAAGCTACCAACATTTGGGGCCTAAGAGGAACCTTTCCAGGCCAGGATTTGATGGGAAGCAGGGTCACAGCGCTCTGCTTGCTCCTGCTGGGAACACTTTAGAGTTCCACCAGAAAACAAGCTTTGTCCATACAGAGTTCCTAGTGGCCTGCTGAGTTCCAAGTTTAAAGGTGCACCCGGGTGCCAGGCAAGAGAGCAATGTCTACAGGCACTGAGGCAGGGGGCAGAGAGTGGCAAAAGAACTCTCAGTGTCAGACAGGAGGCCAGAGGAGGAATCAGGGTTTAAAATCATCCTAGTGTCTCCTAACATAGTCTGAAACTGAAGACAATCCAGAGAAAGGGTTGTCTGTCAGCAAATGGAAACATCAGCCAGCATACTGTAGATTATCTATGTCAACATCAAGGGAACACATTCCTTCCCCCAGGCTGGTAAGATCTGGACAAGTGCAGGTGGTTCTAGAAACAATGTCAAAATAAATTATGTTTCTCTCTCCCCCTGCCCTTTATCTCTCTCTCTCTATCTCTCTGTGTCTCATTTTTGTTTGTTGAGACAAGGTCCTACTACATAACCCAGGCTGGCCTTCCTGCTTCAGTCTCCAGTGTACTAGGATTACAGGTGTGCCCCGCCATGCTCAACTCTATTTGTATTTCTTAAGCTCCAACTTCTAACTCTTCACTATAGAAATGTAAATTTTCAGTATAAATTATAGGCTCCCCTCCCAAAATGTGCACATTCCAGATGAACCCATCCATATGCTTACAAGCTCCTATATTTGGTACACATATAAACTGAAGAGACAATATAGAAAATTAGTAATATATGTGACAAATTAAAGAAAATATACCTAACAAAGTTACTTTGGACTGGGCCAAGCCCAAGGGTGAAAGTGGCTTCGGGGGTTGAGGTGGAGGCAGAGGAGGCTTTGGAGGGCGAGGCAGAGGAGGCCAAGGCGGATTTGGCCGAGGCGGCCGGGGCGGTTTTGGAGGCCGGGGAGTTTTGGAGGCCAGGGAGGCTTCCGAGGAGGCAGGGGAGGAGGAGGAGGAGGTGGAGACTTCAAACCACAAGGAAACAAGGAAAGAAGACGAAGTTTGAGTAGTTCCTTCTGTTCCTGTGTTTCCCTCTTCCATTTGAAAGAAAGGACTCTGAAGTTTTTACTCTGTTACCTATTTAATGACAGAGCCTTCTGAGGACATTCCAAGACAGTGTGCAGCCTGTGGTCTACTTGGAATCCATAGAGATTACATTTCAAGAGAGATACCCTGTTGGTTTTGACTGGATATTCATAGAAACTTTTTAAAGAGATGAGTGATAGAGCTAACCCTTATCTGTAAATTTTGAATTTATATTGTTTCATCCCATGTACAAAACCATTTTTTTCCTACAAATAGTTTTTTTTGTGTGTGTTGGGGTTGTAAAAGAAAGAATGTTTTATCATGGAAAAAAAAAAAAGAAAATATACCTGAAAATTAAGCACCACTTGAGGTACACCTCCAGCCCAACTATAAGAACATTTTAAAGGAATATTAGCATACTAAGAAAAAGTTCCATTTAACACATTGTAAAAAGCTTCCAATATAACTTACATGAATATATCTTTGATAAATGTAAGCTAAACTAGGCAATCATATGGAGATCGTTGTAGCACCAAGGGTTCTCAAACAGTTGAATCATCAGAATCACTTGGATGGTTTAGTCTCAGAATTCTAGGCTCCACCCCTTGAGTTCACATTCCCAGCCCATTCCCAGATGAGTGATGCAGATTGTACAATGCTTTGGAGAATAACCGGTGTCAAATACTTTGGATTCATTCTTTTCCCTGTCAGATTTCCCAAGTTCATTAAAATACTTCCCACTGAATTTTTTTTCTTCTTTTTTTTCTTTTTTGTCAGGTCCTGGGGCTTGAACTCTGGGCCTGGTGACTGTTCCCTGACCAATTTCATTCTCAAGGCTAGCTCTCTACCACTTGAGCCACAGTGCTACTTTTGATCTCATGGACCTTTTTTGGCCTGGTCTGGCCTTTGAACCGATGATCCCTCAGATCTCAGCCTTCCTGAGCTAGCTAGGCTCACAGGCAGTGAGCTTAAAAAAAAAGTTGAAGTTTTTTTTTTAAGCTCATGCCTATAAGCCTAACTAGTCAGAAGGCTGAGATCTGAGGGTCATGGTTCTAAGGCAGACCAGGCAAAAAAGGTCCATGAGATCAAAAGTAGCACTGTGGCTCAAGTGGTAGACAACTAGACTTGAGCACAAATTGGCTCAGGAACAGTCCCCAGGCCCTGAGTTCAAGCCCCAGGACTGGGGGAAAAAAAAGTTTCACTTCTGACATGTATGCATTTAAATTGTAAATTACATACCGCCTAAGAAATAAGCTTATTTTCTAGGAAGTTAACAATTTCTTTCAAGCCAGACATCAGTGGCTCATGCCTGTAATCCTAACTACTCAGGAAGCTAAGATCTAAGGATCATGGTTTTAAGCCAGCCCTGGCAGGAACATCCACAAGATTCTGATTTCTAATTAGCCACTAAAAACCAGAAGTGGATTTGTGGCTCAGGTGGTAGAGAGCTAGCCTTTAGCAAAAAAGCTCAGGGACAGGGCTCAGGCCTTGAGTTCAAACAAATTTTTGTTTTAATGTTTTCCTCCCATGCTTCCAGTTTCTGTTGCTCTGACTGCTTTTTCCAAAATGAATTCAAGTGAAAAACTGTGTTCGACTGACTCTTCCTGTGCATACCTTCAGTCTTTGCTGGTACATTCTCATACTGAGATTCCATAAGGATAACAGTATGTGGAAGTTCCCAAGTTTCCTTTGGGACTCTCTAGGGTTATTAAATTCTCCCAAGTAAATATGATGCGCCATGCCCTGTCAGGTCAATTAATCAAATTCATCTCTGGTTTCCAAAGAAAAAGACTGGTTAGATTTACAAGTACCAGCAAGAATTAATCCTAAGGGTCAAGACCTAGCAACATCCTGCAGCCAATAAGCTCTGTGAGCTCATGGCCCTTCTTTGCCTTGTTTCCTGCCAGAACCCTTGGAATACAGTAGGTGCTCAACAAGTGCATGTGGAATAAATAAAAGCTCAGGATAAAAAATTCCATTGTGTTCTAACATTGGTTTCTAGCTAAGATGAGAATTCTGCTCTCAAAAAGGTCCCAGACTCTATTTAGATGAACTTTGGAGGAGTCAATGAGCTATTAAAAATTGTTAAGTTTGGCAAATATTTTTACAACTGCATCTTTTAAGAGAATAATTATTCATATTATTTTTCAAAGAGGATTATGTGAACAGAAAGCCCACCACATTCACAGATTTGTTACATGTGGGGTTTTTTGTTTTGTGTTTTGTCCGTCATGGGGCTTGAACTCTGAGCCTGGGTTCTGTCTCTCAGCTCTTCAGCTCAAGGTTAGTGCTCTACCACTTGAGTCATGGTGCCACCTCCAGTTTTCTGCTGGTTAATTGGAGATAAGAGTCTCATGGACTTTCCTGCCTTGGTTGGCTTTGAACCACGATTCTCAGATCTCAGCCTCCTGAGTAGCTAGGGTTACAGGAGTGAGCCACCAGCACCTAGCTACATGTGGTTTTTGACCAATTACTGGCCAAAAATTATTTTTTTAATTTCAAAAGAAATTTCAAAAACAAATGCTGAATTCCAGCACACTCATGGAACAGCCCAGTTGACATAGAACTCTCAGTGCCAGGTTATTTGTGCACAAATGATATGTGATTGATTGAGCTTAACTTCCTGAAACTGACTGCCCCCCCTGCAAAAAAAGCAAACGGTGCCCTAAAAACAAGGTAAAAATGAACATGCTTAATGACATGATAAAAGTGAAAATCTGCAATTTGTTGAAAGTGGCATGTCTTTAGAAAA